ATTAGTTAGATTTTAACTGATTATATCTAAATTTCCAGTAGCTTTTGAGGTGAGGGAATTCACCAACAGAAGAAATATACACCATATTTTGATGATAATCAAGCTATATGGATAAATAATTAAAAGGATACTGTTTCACTATTAATTCAGCTTAAATATATAACTTATTTGGAGTGACTTCTGGATAATCATCTTTCAAGAAAGTATATAGCTAGAAAGAATCATCAGAGGCACAAGGGACTAGAAATGAAACCACTGTTATTCAAGAAAAAATCCAAACTGTTTCTTCTTACCAGATAATGGGATAAATTCAGAATTTTTTAAAAATTGAAGAGTTGGGTAACAAGTAGGTAAAGAAACACATGACTCTTGCCTCTTGCTTCCTGACTTCCCTCCCTAGCAGTGCTGACTGCTGTCAGAGAAGAAAGCTCTTCTCAGACGAGTGGGACCATTATGTAACCCGCATGTTTCTACAAGCTGCTGGCTCTCTCCTGGAAAAAGCAAACTCCATAAATAGCAGACACTCAGCAGTTATAGCATAGACAGGGGGAGTAACCCCATAAGAGCAAATAAACATACAACACCCCACCTTGGAGAGTCCAGGCTAATACATCAAATGCATCTGCCTTTGGAGTAATAAAGACCCACTGACTGTCCAACCCAATCTCAGTGGTAAGTTTCACCCTGGGGTGATATTTTAATGCTATTGCCCTTGGAGTCAGTAAATATTTGTGTGGAAAATATGATGCAACACCCTGTTCCTGTTATTCCTACACCACTGGTTTCTAGAACCTAAAACATTTTTGTAAACTTACCTTTACTTTGGCACCAACCCTTTGTCTCTGCTGGGTTTTTTCCAATATAACTCTCAACCTTCGAAGTTTATTAAATTTGCAATTTTGAAACGAGGAAGAATATTTCCCTTCACAGAAAAACAGACTCTTAATTTTGCAAAGTGGCCAAGTCATATTGCATGCTCTATTATTCCTAGCTTGGAAGCTCTGTGGGCAAGACGTTGCTGGAGAAGATAATGTGCCATCATTCTTGCTGAGCAAAGCGAAGAGGGGATGGGGATGCTGCTGCACAAGGGGCGGATAGGCAGGCCTCCTTCAGGAGCCTTAAGAAACAGGGTCCAGCCTTGCAACTAAATCTTGCTCTGGTCTGGTCTTGTCTGACTGCATACCGAATTCAACCCTGCCATGACCTCCTGGGCAGGTCAAGGGAAGGCTGTTTGTTGTTCTTAGAACTAAAATGAAGCCTGGGCATTAGCAACTACTCATGAGTAGATGTAGGGATCCCGGCAAAAAGACTACAAGTGGTTCTGAGGATGTGAGTTAGAAATGCAACTTGAAAGCACCCTCCACAGCAAAAGGCTGGAGGTGAAAGGATCTTGCTGCCCACAAAGTCCAACATGTTCGTCATTACTCAGATGAAGAAACAGGCTCTATCTGGGCTGAGGCACCTGTCTGAAATCCCCTGAGTGGGTACATCTGGGGCACCACCTCATGCCCCTGACCTGCTCTCAGCCCTCTCCTGACTACTAAGAGTTTCCTTCTATCAAGGGTTTCAGGGGAGGGTCCTATTTCACATTCTGTTTGATTTCATTTTACCAGTGAGAAGTGATCACTTTCCTGGGAGAGACAGAACTTGTTTTATGGTAGAAGAGGGCTCTAGACAGTAGGCATGGTATGTGCAGAGTCCCGAAAGCATTAAGGAACATGAGTGTGGGGCACAGGGAAAATTTTCTGTGGCTACTGAGCACATTCCTCAGGGCATGTGCATGCTTGTGCCTGTCTTTCACATGAGCTGAGGGTGGTAGTGACAGGAGATGTATTTCAAGAACCTAAAACCAGGGTCACAAAGGACTTTACAGCTCTTACAGACTGAATTGTTTCCCCACAAAAAGTTAGGGAAGCCCTGACTCCTATTACCTGTAAATATGATTTTATTTGGAAATAAGGTATTTGCAGGTGATCAATTTAGATGTGGTCATTAGAATGGACTCCAATACAATATAAGTGGTGCCCTTATAAGAAGGGGACACTGGGGCAGAGACAAACAGAAGGAAGACAATACAGAATCATGGGGAGAACAGCATCCACAAGCCAAGGTATGCTTGGAATACCAGCAGCTGGGGGAGAGACCTAAACCAGGATCTCCCTTCCAGCCTCAGAAACAGCCAATCCTGCCAGCACCTTGATCTCAGACTCTCCAGCCTCCAGAACTGCAACAATAAACTTCTGATGTTTATGCCACCTAATCTATGGTGCTTTGTTACAGCAGCCCTAGGAAACTCATACACAAGCCAAAGTAAAGAACATGAATTGTGATCTACAGGTAAGGAAAGTTACTGAAGGGTTTATGTAGGAGCTTCACATGGTCACCGCAATTTAGAAAGATACTTGGAGGCCATACATGTCCCTATGTATCACAGCAGGAAACACAAGAGGCCAGAGTTTATTTTGAAACTGCTGAAACAGTTCATGCAAAATACCTCTGAGTTACGGCAGCAGCAGTTAGGAATGGTTGGCGCAGACTGATAGAAGGTTGAGAGATAAAGCATCATGAATTGTGTCCATGTCATCAGAGGAGCAATGAAACCAGAAAAAGCCACTTAACACAAAGCCACTCGAAGAAGGGACTCAAATTCTATGATAAATAGAATAAATAGTGGGGAAATGTTTGATTTGGAATTCATCTTAAAAAATTGAACTAAAGATTATGAAACCAAGTTATTTATCTTACACTGAACATAACATAGGTGGTAATTGCAACTGGGTACTCTAATTCTTTGAATGAGGAAAGAATAGATTGTTTTGTATTTTCTCTCTCTTTTCTTTTCTGAAGAAATTATATGATGATCCACTATGGCTGCCTTCACTTTCAGAGCAAGATCAGAACAGGATTGTTTTTACAAAAGTAAAACCCAGTTTCACCAATGTCCTCAGCCCCCTCTGTCCCCTGCTGTGCCAATCCCCCTCACTTGAAGCACACTTTTTGTTGGCACCTGTGTCCATTTTCCTGGTTAATTGTCCAATGTCTACTTGTCCTCACATCCTTATTCATCAATTCATCAATGATTTGGGCTAGAAAGAACAGTCACAACTGGGTGAAGACTAGCTTTCTGTTGATACAGAATATGATTTGAAACTAGAAATAAAGCACACTCCAAATTTAGTAGTAATAGTTTCTTCTTTTCACTCTTGTTTGTTTATGGCTATGGAACTGCATGCTTAGCCCAACTGTAGTCACCATTTAGAGTCCGTATAAATTCCAAATCATTTCTTTTATAGTCATCTTTCCAGAAAGAGAGTGCCGGCTGGTGTAGAGAAGGCAGCACTTAACATAAGTGTCACTTCTCCAAAGATAAAAGGGACACATCAAGTAGATATACACTCAGCATTATACCCACATGATTGATACTCTTAGAAAGCTCTGGACACACCTGACAAAGTGGGCATCCAAAGTCGGAGTTGGATCAAACTTCCTAAAACCCCTCTTGTATGTCTTTCTGTAATCTTGAAATCATTCTGGAATGCATCAAGCAAGGGAAGAGGGGCGGATGGGGCAGGGAGGGAAGCATATTTCCCTGTGCCATTTCTGGGCCGAGGTCCTAACTGCATCTCAGCGGAGCACAGCAAGATGGCTGTAACGCAAGTCCCTGGTATTTCCTTAGCCTACAACAGAAGTCAGAAATATGGTCATGGATATGGAACACTGTGCCTGTCTCATTACAGGGGGTGCTCTCACCCGGGATGAAGCACACACTGGAGCCAGTCTCCTCTGGAGACTGTGCCCATTGGAGAAGCAGACTCAGAAAGAAAGGGCCCATCTGCAGGATGGAGAGGGCTGGATTCCTAAGATGGACTTGCTTATTCCATCCCCACCCCCATCTCCCTCAGACCACCAAGGCAGGAGTTTTTACAACACATCCCACATATTTTATGGAATCAAAATCAGAAGGGGTCAAGAGATTTCCAGAATCAAACATTTTCTGAATAAACATAAAATATACCTGTCCTTCCTCCAATATGACCAGAGGGACACAGTAATCTTCCTTAGTTACTTAGAGGCTCAGGTGTAGCAAACCTGACTTTAGAGAATACAGGTACCTCATTAGATGGACAATATGATTACCAAGAGGCAGTTAAGAGAATCTGGCAAAGAGGGAGGGGAGATGCTTGAGAATCTGTGCTGTGTTTTTGGCAATCGATTTGTGCTGGAAGGGTGATGAGGTCAACAAACATGAAGGAGTGAAGAAGGAAAAAAAATTGGGAGGTAGGATTCTGGAAGCTCTTAATGTTAGAAACCAATGATGCTGAACCTTAATCCTCTGTAGCCAGCAACACCCAGAGATAGAGGAACATGGAGAAAAATCTACCCTCCCTTCTGATAAAATTCTCCAAGATCTTATAAGGACTTAAGCAAGGAAGCAGATTAACTTTTCAGGTCAACCTTTCAGATCAAGGAGAGCAAAACTAAGTAAACCTCATCTATTCATGGGGGCCTATAACACTGCATGCCTCAGTCTGAGATCTAAGGTAAGTCAGTGGAAAGGGTGATGATACACAGTGTGTAGGTAACAAATAGGAGATCATTCAATCGTTCAATAAATATGGACTGAGCACTTACTGTGCAAGGGTGCTAACTCTACCTCAGATCCTGTGCTCTTTGATGTGACCTGGGGCAAGAAGTGCCCCTGAGGAGACATACAGGAGAAAGAATAGAACTGTGGACGTCATGGCTTTGCCAGCAGTGGACCAGCTGACGTTCATTCACAAGAACCAGGCTAAAGGGGTTCCTGCTCAATACGGCGGTATCCATGCACCCAAGCAGGAATCTGGCTGGAGCCCAATGTGAATGGAGAAGAGAGAACTCTTACGTAAACTGGGTGATTTACCTTGGGTGGATGCGCAAGCCTCTATGTATATGTGGGTGTCTCTGCAGAAGGGGGTGTTACGGTCAGATACAGTGTCCCAGGAGCACAGGACAGCACTTACCTGGGTGGGCAGGGCTCTGTGTTGCAAGCCTGGCTCATTGCTGGAGGACGGTGAACTAGATCACACAAGGTGTCACTGACTGTCTGCTGGGTCTGGGTGTGCAAGCACACTGCGATGGCTTCTTGATGACCTGGAGGTTGGAGAGAGAAAAAAATGCAAATGACTTAGAATAACTTATTGTGGGGGAAAAATAGGGTCTTGGGACTTTCCAAGCCACTGCCCTTTGACTATACTGCTTGGCTATAGGCTGCATTTCAGGGTACACATGGGAGCAAACAACTTTGTGTTTTCCAAAGTCTTACAATCTTTTTTCTTTTTTAAGATTTTATTTATTCATGAGAGACACGCACACACAGGAAGAGAGAGAAGCAGGCTCCATGCAAGGAGCCTTGTGGGATTCGATCCCGGGACTCCAGGATCACACCCTGGGCCGAAGGAAGGTGCTAAACTGCTGAGCCACCCAGGGATCCCCTTACAATGTTTAATATTCTGTCACCTTTTAAACTCAGCCCCACTACCCTCCCTGCCCAAATATACTTACTTTGATACATGAGACCCCGACTCCTCATCTACTATCAGATGTACCTGCATTCCAAATGTACTCAAAGTCCCCTCAACTGAACCATTAGAGTGTTCCTCCCAAACATACACCATAGATTCCTGAGAAGGCTTTTCCTATTAGATGCTAAAGAATAACATTTTTTTTATGTCACCACATAGGTACTAACTTTGGTGTACATATCTTATTAAAATATTCATTATGGTGTGAAATCCTGTTCACTATTACTATAAAATAGTAGTATTTCCATTGCTAGCAAAAACAACAGCAATACCTCCCATTGGCAAGGTGCTCTGACATGTACAAAGTGCCCTCTATAATCTTGTGAGGTCCAAAGAATGGTACCATCATCTCCATTTTATTAACTTAATAATAAGGAACCTGAGGTTTACAGAAAAATTGAGACAACAAAAAAGTGGTAGATTCAAAACTAAAAATTAGATTTCCTATTTCCTAAGCTAATGGTCTTTTTTTCTCCTGCAGGGATTCCAAAATACAGTCAACTAACCACCCAAAGCAGTGACTGCCTCTTGGGAAAAGAGGAACTTCTCCAGGCTGATCTTTCCTTTGGGCCAGACAGGTCTGTCTGGACCTGAAGCCCATGTCTCAACCAGTATTCTGTGTCTACTGAGACAAAAAGAATTATTGGAAAATCAGAACTGAACAAAATATAAATCAAACTTTTGATGAGAAAAAAATCACATAAAAATTGTAATAGCAACTTGACTATGCTATTTGAAATATGCAAATGTATTCAGTTTCATGCAAGAATGTGTGTTCCATTATGTTAGAAGACTGTGGTTCTCTTTCCAAATGCCATGTTTCAATTCATCCGTTTTATGATATTTTACAGAATGCAGAATAGGCTAAAAGTATATATAAAATACACATTGGTGATGTTCAGTTCTTTCCACTAAATTTTCTCCTACTTTCTTTAGTTGTAATCTTATGTTCCCGCCATGGCAGGATGCGGTCTTCAATCTCCATAGATCACCCATGAACTTTTTTTTAAAATATATACTGGCTAACTTGAGATACCAAGAGGACACAGCTACAACTGAATAATCAGTTCCCATTTACGAACGTCAAACTTCTTTAGTGACTTTATGGGGGTACAAATGCTCATTTTCTAGCAGACTGCATTTCTTTTTCATCAAAGTCCAGTTCTCTTCCACATATATTTTAATTTGTAATCAAAATTCTGTAGAAAACATACACAGAAACTATTTTGGAACATTTTCTGGAGACACAGTGTGTGGGCCTTAAGGCTCTAAAGTCATCTCATTTAATCATTCGAATGAAGTGCTAGAACACTTGTGAGAAATTTCTCTGTCTTAAAGCAAGTATACTCAAAAGAATGTAAAAAATTAATAGATGGTTTAGAATACTTATTGAGGTAAAATGTATTTTCCAAAGACGACCACAATAATATCTTCTATCTCACATACCCAACCTATAAAATGACCTTAACACTCTTGATTTCAAGAGTCTTGCTACAACTTTTTATCTTCAAAAGTTAAAGTAAAAAACATAAATACAAGTTTACCTCATCTTATGCTTAGCAAAACTTGGGGGATAATTGTGATGCATTTAGAAAATAAATGTTCAAATTTCGGTCTGATTTTTCTTAATAAATTCCTTTGGCAGCATGAGACAACATCCTTCAATTCACATTTGACTTCTACAATGTCATAATAAGAGGATATTTTTAAGGGCAGAAATAACATTCAAAACCTTCATCAAGAAATGGATTTACAATTTGGGGAGGGGAGGTGGGTGGAAAGGACTCAGAAAAGGGAAACAGAGCCAATTAACACATTTCTTTTTGTTGGTTTAAGGTTAGCATGAGTTGGGTTTCTTGCACACAAGTGCTGAGTAATTCAACATGCCAAATAACATAACACACAAACACACATACTCAATAAGAAATATCTGGAGTAATGAAGAATATGTAGTCAGAGTCTTTAAGGTGCTCTATCCACTATTTAAAACATCAAGTTGTAAAATAAATATGAAAAAAACAAATTGAATAAGAAAAGTATATTGATTTAATAACCAAAGAGCCTTGGGCCCTAGAAAGAGACGTAATATGCTCTTTTGAAGCACCAGTGGAACACTAATAAAAACTGATCCTCTATTAATCTATAAAGTAAACTGCAGTAAGTTCCAAAAGCAAGAAATCATGAAGCTCACATTCTCTGACCACAACAGAGTCCAACTATAAACAAATAATAAACAATTAAACCCTCAAATCCAACTATTAGAATTTTCCAAAAGTCATTCCCTATGTAACTGCTCAGTCAGAAAGAGTGAATGGATCCTACATTATTCGTGGCCAGAAAAAGGAAGAGAGAGGCTTAAAGCAACTGGAGACTAGATGAACAACTCATAATAGTAATTTCAATATTGTCATGAAGTGGATGACTTTTTTTCCCAAGAAAACCTAAATGAGGGAATTTTCTTAAAAATCAAGATCTTGACTGTAACAATAAGCAGGGGTTGAGGGGGCTTGAAAATGATGCTAAGATCTAGCGGAGATGCTCTCCCTTCAATCCTGCCCCCAAGAGGGAAAAACAAGAACGGGTAGGAACCAGTGCTTTCAAACTTCTTAAACAGATAGTATCTGTGATATAAACTATTTTTAAAAGATTTTATTTATTTATTTGAGAGAGAGAGAGAGAGAGAATGAGCGTGCATGGGTGGCAGAGGAGGGGCAAAGAGAGAGGAAGAAGCAGACTCCCTGCTGAGCAGTGAGCCTGATGCAGGACTCCATCCCAGGACTCAAGTGGGATCATGATATGAGCTGAAGGAGACACCTAACCAACTGAGCCACTCAGGTGCCCCATGATATAAACTATTTAAGATTGTTGAAAGGTACAGAAAATCCCCATTCATGTTACAAGACTACTCTAACCCTGATGATGAAATCTATAAAAGAAAAAAATATATATCTACTTTATTTAGTATTGCCTTGTACAATGCTATATCACAGAATCAAGCCCAAGGCCATACTGAAAAGAACAGTTAATACATTTTTCTTTCTCTGAGCTGATGAGCCACTGTGAATGAGAGGATACTGCTCTAAACTCCCAGGTAAAGTAAAAGAAGGGAAGCATGATATGCTACGGGTTGGGAGAAATGCCAAAGAACAGTATCACTCTTGGCGTTCAAATGCAAGCTTTATAGCACTGCAAATAGGTGAGTTCTTTTTAGCAACCAGTTGAGGACACAGCTGGTAAAGATTAAGGATTGTTGAAACCATTTGGCCGCATGAAGGGCATCATAAACATCGCTGGAGCCCGAGAGGAAGTGACCAATTATATCAAGAGTGGCTGGAAGAAACTACAGCTCGAGGCCTGTCATGACTTGAAGAGATCTGAAGAGAACAAAACAGTGATTGCTAACCTTCCGTGTCAGGAACACATCTCCATGGGGAGTAGGCTAAAACTAGCCCGCAGTGGGCCAATTCAGTTTTCACTCTTATTTTCCCCTTTGTGGGAAGGCATGCTTGGACTCCATCATGCTGAATGCAAGATACATACATGCATCAATGTTATTCATCTAGGGCACAAAATCTAATGCCAGCACATTGCAATCAGCTGTATAAGAAGAGTATTACACCGTGACCTCAGACATCTATCCATTCACCCACCAAATCCCTCAGATACAAATATTCATGCGCGCGCGCGCACACACACACACACACACACACACATACACACACACACACACCAGGAACCTTCTGAGGTCAGGCATATGGACCCATGGCCTCTCACGTGCATCCTGGCTATTTCCTATCCTATTTCAATTAGGAACTGCCCCTTCCACTGCTGAAGACTGATCTCTACCGCTGTAGAACTGTAGAATTCCCTTCCACCTTCCCAGGAAGTCTACTGGTGACTTTGGCCTTCGCTTTCATCCTGGAGCATTCTCTCTGCCTTATAAATGTATCCAAGCTACTCAGGCACTGAATGACACAACACACACACAACCCATAATGCCTTCTAGTCTCTTCCCTCTCTCTATCTTCTTTATTACAGATCAATTTTGCCACAGAAATGTATATTCTATTCTTCTCCATTTTATCACGTGTCATTCTTTCCTCCAACCTTTCAAATCTCCTTTACATGTCCAATACTTCACTGGATTGACTTTTCAAGTCACCAGTGGCCACTCATTCTCTTCCTGGAGATTCTCATTCATACCAGGGCTTCAATTCTGTCCATACACAGATGACTCACAATTGTGTAATTTCAGTCTAGATCTTTGCACTTTGCCTCAGATTCACACGTTCAATGACCTACTTAGCATCTCGGTTTGAAGCCCAGAGGCATGTCAAATTCATTATGTTCACAACTGAACTCATGATTTCCTTGTGCCCAACTGGACCTCTGGTGAGCACTCATCATCTCAGAAAAGAATCCAGGACTCAAACTAGCCACTTCATTTCCACTCACTCCCTCCACCCACAGATTCTCACCTGCTACACATTTTTCAGAGTCATCTGCTCTATTCCATCTCTAGCATCTTTACTACTTAAGGCCAAGCCTTTTCCTGGATGAGGCAATAGC